AAAGGGGCAAAGGGGAAGGGGAAGTGGGAGGGGTAGGGGAAAGGAAAGAAGGGAATGGAATTAATATGAGAAAAAGAAAAAATGGAAACAATGTCTGTAAATAGGGAGGATGGAGAGGTTGAAGGGAAGGCAGGGGAAGGGGGTAAAAATTAAGAACCAAGAGAGATTATGTAGAGGTGCAAATTTCCAATGATGAATGTCATTATACTGTATACCTAAAATGTACCAATAAAAGTAATTTAAAAATTTTTTTTTAAATTGACAGCTAATGGTTTAAATAAAATAAAGGTTAGCTCTACCAGATCTTAATTTCTCTTTATCCTGTAATTTAGCATACTTAAACTCAAGGGATTAAGATATAAACATTTAGATTGTATTCTAGAACCCTTTAGCCAAGCCCCCTTTCACATCCTAAAAGATCTTACAGTCCTATTTCCAAAGAAGTAACTAACTTTTTCTTCACTTATTAAAAGAGAAAGGGCCGGGGATTTAGCTCAGTGGTTCTGACACCTGCCTTGCAAGCACAAGGTCCCAAGTTCGATCCCTGGTACCAAAAAAAAGAGAGAAAAATGGTATTATTCTTGATTTCCATTTGTTATTAAAGTGAACCACAATAAGGTCTCTATGCATGTTTACCAAAATGTAAATTGAGAATGTAGAGTACACTGATGAATTTGCATGTTTAATCTATATCACTGTACAAACATTAAAAAATTAGCAAAAATCCTGCCCACTGAATTACCTTGAAATAAAGTAATAGTAATTGGATTGTATATATGCTTATAACAAATAATCGCTAAGACAAAGGATGTCATAGGAACAAATACACCTGAATCTACACCTCTTGGAAAATGCTGCCCAGTTGTAGAAAAGGGTTTTGGCCACTTTACCCAAAATGAAAGACAGAAAAAAAGGGTTCATACTTATTTGAACTTTAAAAAAATACCACAGTACAGGGCCAGAATCAGTGTGTTATGTTAAGGATGTTTATTATTGTTTAAAGCAGAGGATAAGCTGTGTGTGTAGCTCAGTGACAGACTATATGCTTAGCATGTGTGAACCTCTGGATTCCATCCCTAGCAGCACAAAACAACAACACCAACAAAATGAGAATTTTTATCTCTATCACCTGCATGGTCCCTAATCTCAGGATCCATACCTCTTCTCACTGAGCTATATACCAAACCCTTTTTTATTTTTCATTTTGAGACAGGTTCTCATTTAGTTCCTCAGGCTAGACTCAAATTTCCCTCCCAGAATGCTGAGATTACAGGCATGCACCAGTATGCTAAGCTATAGATCTCTTTCTTTTTTTATGCTTAATATTATTCAATTGCTTCTTTACACATTTACATATATTTGATCCATTGTCCTTACACATTTTGTGTGTCCATTCATCCATCACTGGACATTAGGTTATTTCTATACCTTGGGTACTGTGAAGAATTCTGCATGGAATATAGTAGTGCAGACATCTCTTTGGCAACTGATTTGCTTTGGATATATGCCCAGAAATTGAACTGCTGGATAATGTAGGTTCTATTTTTAATGTTTTGAGATATTTTCATACTGTTTTCCATTATGACTCTATCAAATTATATTCCTAAACAGGGTGCAAGTAAGCAAGTATCTTCCACCCACTTATAAATCGGGTTCTCTGTTTTAGTTCTTTTTCTTTGATTCATAAGTATTAACTATATATTTTAAATATTAAATCATATATTTAAGTCAATAGTGATGACCCAATAAAGAACACAGCCACCCTGAATTTGGGGGGCAGGGGGTTGGACAGGACCTCCTGGAGTGACCCCACAGGAGAGTACAAGTTTATTGAGCTAGGTCCTTTATGCATAGTGTGATAGGCTTGGGGGGCCTGAGAATGGCTGGGGATGGGGCTACAGCAACTGCCACTGTGACCTGCAGGGCGGCTGGTGAGCTGTGTCTTAGCAGAACAGGCATTGCTCCTGGGCTCAGGTCCCGGGAACCGGGTGTGGGAAAGGGCTGTAACTGGTTTTGTAGCTCAGAAACTCAGGCAGTTGGGGACAACAAAGGGAGGGCCCACCTATCAATCCCTAATTTGAATATCTAAAATCCAAAATGCTCTGAAATCCAAAACCTTCAGGAAAATATTCCAAAATCCAAAATCTGAAGTACTTTTGATTCCAAGTATCTTGGATAAAGGATATTCAAGCTGTAGCTTTCTCACCTCTTACATAAATTGCCTTTTCACTCTGTAGATTAATTCTTTGGCTGTGTGTCAGCTTCTCACTTTGATAAAACCCTAATTATGTATTTTACTTTTGTTGCCTGTAATTATGGGGTCATATTAAAAAAAAATGATTGCCCAAAGCAGCATCAAGTTTTTTCTCTATGTTTTCTTCTAAAAGCTTTATGGAATTTAAGTCTTTAACCCATTTTGAACTGATTTTTTATACACACCATAAAAAACTAGTTCTATTTTATTCTTCTGCATGTAGATATCTAGTTTTCTTAGCTCTATTTATTGAAGAGATTTTTTTTTTTTTTTGAGATAGAGTCTCACTGCATTGTTACTATGTTGATCAGGCTGGCCTTGAACTAACAATACTCCTGCCTCCACCTCCTGAATAGCTGAGATTACAGACAAGTCCCATGGTGCTCACATGCTGAGGGGATGAGACTGATTCAATGAATTCAATCACTTTTTGTGATTGGTCTGCTCAGGCTTTTTAATTTCTTTTTGATTCAGAGTGAGTAGGGTGTATTTAGGAACTTAACCATGTTTCTAGGTTATCAAATCAGTTGCCAAAGCATGGTGCATGATCTTCATCTTTGAGGTATTACCCTTCACAATTACTAAATATGGGACAGTTACTTCTCATGTCAACCTTTATCATTTATCAAGAATATTTGAACAGATAAACCAAGGTTCACAGTCACTGTCTCATTGTAGTTAATTTTGAATTACTAATAATTTTGTTTCTGTCTTCCCTTTCTACTTGTAGAGATGCCTCATATGTATCTATCTTGTTTAAAAATAACTATAAGAGCTTGAAAAATTATAATAATGATATAAAATGTAATACTCTTGCCATACTATTTAATCAGCACTTTCTTAAAGTCCTAATGAGAGAAATGATCTGCTATTCCCTCAGTAAGCCTTAGTTCCCAACTCTATTTCCTAGTAGTTTCCCTTTGATTCTAATGTATAAAGACAAGTACCTATTATATACAATGATTCAAACGTAAACATTCAAGTCAACAACTTTATCTTGCTCTTACCTAAATAACACTCAGCAACCACAATATTAGTCTTATTGAGAACTATACAATTCTTTAGAGTCCATTCAGGAGCTTTTCATCAGAAATGTTATAAACTTTTGATTTTATGTATTTTAACTTCAACTGTTTTAATAAGAGAATTAATTATTAATAAGCAGATATATTTTTGTTTGTATTTGTCTACCTAGCCTCTGATATTATTATTATATAACTGGCATTTAATAAATGTTTTGCTAAATGAATTAATTACTAGCACTACTGATAGATACATTAAAAAGTATACATAGGAGCTTTTAGTAATGCTGATAATTCATTTATTTCTAAATATATAAGATTTTAGAGCCCAATTTTTTGTTGTGTCTTCTTTTTCAACCACAAGATTTCTGTGGGTCTTTGAATTTGTACCAGAATCTGGAATCTTACTTTTCTTTCACCCAAAAAATCTCCCTCTATCTTAACATATCCTTCCTCACTGGGTGGAATATTTGTTGTCGCTTTTACTCATTCCATTTAGATCGAAACTAATTCCATAACCTTGTAATTTTGTTCATGCAAACCTCTTAGGGAGGTTCTTAACATACAGTGAGAAGAGATCTGATGTAGACATTATAACTACAGAATCAGACCATGAGCCTTTAACCCCACAATTCTGCCAGGAAGCACTAACAGCAAATCAAATAACCCAAATGGAAATCAAAATATTCTCAGAAAATAAAAAGAAAATCAAGTTTAGGGAATCTCTCTTTCCCTCTCTCTCATACACACATACACCACACACACACACACACCCAGAGTTAATACATATTGCACAAATGAGTAACTTAAAAGTCAAAGCTCTGTAACAAATTTGACAATAAAATCCTTTTGGGCCGTATTATACTGTTTGTGTCTATTTTAGCGCATCATTGTGAATGAGAGCTACTGGCTGCATAGCACAAAGATTTTCACTATATAAACAAAATTGAATAAAATCTGTCAGTATAAAACTTGTTACACAAACATCTGATTCAATTTTTTCTAGCAAAAACTTGCTTCCTGACACATGCAATTAAACTCCAAAATACCCACCTTCTAGGATGACTGGCATCAAACAAAGTGTTATCATCATCCTCATCATCTTGTTCCAAAGGTGTCAATTCCATGTTCTCTATGTTAGTGTCCAAAACACCATACCTCCTCGTCTTTCGGTTTTTCCTTCTCATCCTATGAAACAAAACAAATTAGTGAATAAAAATTAGCTTAATGTGGTATACATAATCCTTACTTCATACTGTAAATTAAAAATAAATTATTCATGTGTTTTTAACACAGGAGATAGTCAATGCATAAAGCGTTAAATTTCAGCTACATCATCAAAGTGCCACGAGGGACTACTTATAAGTCATGATACAAAACTTACTCCTACATGTTTGGGCACCATAAATATTTCTCCTGCTCTTCTGCCCCTATCAGCTGTGCTGATAGCTAGTTCTTTAAACCTTAGCTCAGGTATCACATCTGTATTGAGGTTTTCTATTCCAGTCTTTGACCCAGGTCCTCCATTCCTTCTCATTGCTAAGAAGGATTAAGTATTTTCCACACCAGTAAGAGTAAGAAATTGTGTGTGGGAGGGGGAGAGGGGTCTGATAGCTCACAACCCTGGCTACACATCCGAAAAACCTGCTAACCACTTTTTTTAAAGCCCCATGTTCAGATCATAATAAAACTAGAGTTTCCATGGGTAGGAACTAAGTATCAATACTGCAGGAAAGCTCCACAAGGTGATTATAACGTGCTAAAACCCTCTGTCCAAGATCAGACATTCTTGAAGGCTTTAGGGATTGGCAGAATCACAATCACTTAGGAAATTATAAGAAATTAAATCTTCATGCCTAACCCAGTCCTAATTTAAACATAGAATCCAGAAGTCTATGTTTAACAGAAACTTCTTGAGATTTTGATGCATCCTGAAGTTACAGAAACATTACCCTACAGAAATGAAGATTTTAGGGTGTTAAATATATTATGATTTAAACTTCTAGACCATGATTCTCTCTCCAGTAACTTTTCCTTCAAATAATTTAGCTCACCTTACATTCATATGTGCATACATTTATGTGGGTATTCATTCATGTGTCTGTCCTACTAAGTTCCATGAGGGAGGCAACCATGTTTGCTTATACTCAACTGCAAGATCACTTTCTAAAAGTGTCTGACCTGTTAAGGTGTGGAGAGCTAAATACTTGTTAAGAGTCAGAGTAATTTACAGCTCAGTGATCCCAAACCAACGCTTTCAATCAGTGTCTAAGTCACCAACAATGTGACAGCCTCAACTCCATAAGGAGGGAGAGGGATTTCACCAAAGTATCTATTTAAAAACAAATTAGAAGATATTTCAACAAGTGATCATAAACCTGATTTATTCAAATTTGGATTTACTTTGATTGATGTAATAAGATTGTGATAATAACCTTTTAGACTATAGCACTAACTGCAATAAGCAATGACCATGGGAAGTCCTGGAAGACAAAGGAACCAAACACACATGTATATGTGCACACTTTCCACAAATACTTGAGGCTTAATAAACACAAAGCACTATACTAGTTTCTGCATGTGTAGTGTCTGATCATAATAATCAAAATTTATAAATATTACTAAGCCTAAACAAAAACCAAGATAATATCCACCAATCATTGGTGGCAGACCTATTTATATTCCCACTTGAAGGTGATTGGTCAAATAACAGTGGTGCAAGCATAGTGTTTACAGTTTCAAATGTAAACAGTTGAAAGGGGTAAGAAATATTATAACTAGCAAAAATAAGATAACGTGAAGTATAAATTAGTCTTTTTGTACTAGAAATTAAAAATGCTCAGACTGCTAAATTAACAAGTACATATTTACATGTATGTATGCATGTGCACACACACACACACACACACACACACACACACACACACCATGTAACCAGAGGTCTAAATAATTTTCTCCGGCCTGATAATTTAGGCTTTACGGGCCACATATGGTCTCTGCCACATATTTATCTTAATTTTTCATTTTGTTTACAATCCTTTAAAATTATAAAAAATTTTCTTACCTCCTAGACTTTACCAACTAAAAAATATCAATGGATTAGGATTTAGTCTGTTTGCCAACTTCTAATTAGAACTATAAAAGATATTAAAAGAAACACTAATAAAAAACTAAGATGAACTAAGACATGTGTAAGAGCATTGCCTCTGGAAAGAAGTAAATTTAGGTTATGATTGCTCCTTTAGTTCCTCATAGTTTAATAATATCTCCTTAAATATATGTTTGAGAGGTCGATGCTTTCCATAATTTCTTTTGATTTAAAAAAAAATGAATCCATTAACCTGATTGAAACTCCCTGGCAGGACTGGCTGTGCATACTGATAGTTATAACATCTCCTCCCTTTTTTTCAGTCTTTTGCTCCATTTTCTAAACCAAATGGCTTCCCAAACATCTGGCATTCTTAATCAATGAAGAACTTAATGTTATCTGAAGGAATTTTTGGAAATAAATTTGATTCTTCCAGGTCATATACATTATATTTTCAACCTGCTGCTAATCTGGTCGTTGCTTATCACAAGATACATTCATAAGTCTTAAAGTCTTATTCTTCTCCACTCTCTAGATATTCATCATAACTTGAAAGAATTTCTACCCTTGTAAGAAATGGCCAAACAAATCTGCCGAATATTATTTTTCTGTGTGCGGTATAAATATTTGATCACTCTGATTTGGCCAGTCTATATTGTCAATATATATACTCTCCATATATTTTATATTCTAGATTTGTTTAATCAAAGATATAAATGCTATCTTCCAAACGTGAATCTCTTTAAGAAAAGAACTGATTTCATACAAATAGGTATATGGGGCTGGGGATTTAGCTCAGTGGTTCCGCTGCCTGCCCCGCAAGCGCAAGGTCCTGAGTTCAATCCCTGGTACCAAAAAACAAAAACAAAAACAAAAAAACAAACATACAAATAGGTATAATATTGTTAAGTTCTAAATAAATATGGGATGCAGTGCAATTTAAATTAATACTTTGGTATATATTCTAATCCTACACGAATAAATGGAATTTTAAAAACCTGTATTATTAAATAGAATTTAAATTTTAAATGCTATTTCTCCCAAAATGTCTTTCCTCAGTCCACGATCATGATAGCTACATGGCTATAAAAACATGAAATACAATAAAATATACATATTATAGGCAGTGATTCTTCACAAGTGTGCATTATTGTTCAACAATAAAGTGGGTTTTAAAATTTTAACAGCTAACGTTTATGTTTTTCTCACAAAGAAATGTTTCACTAACTTCACAACATCCAAATTTTCATAGTGTGTTATAAACATATATTTAAAATATGTACATTTTTCTTAGACCTAATACATATTGAAATATGAAACCATATTTTGCTGGCTACTAATACAAAAATAGTAACTTTATCTAGAAACACAGAGAAAAAATTACAGAAGCCCGAAAAGGCAAAAGAAAAAAGCTGAATAGTTTCTTGTAATGAATTATGTTCACTCATAACATGGCATGCATGGTTAAATGTTTTGGATTAGATTTCTTCTAGATACTCAGGTTGAGATTCAAACAACTGTTTTAACGTAGATGCAGATTTCTTAAAATTTCATTATATTCTGGTTGGTAAGAACTATTTCTGTTTCAATAACATGCATAAGTTACACTATCAAAATAAAATTTCTAAAGCAAGCTTGATAAGATTTTATGTAAAAATATTTGATGCCACATAAAATAAACACAACAGAATAAAACTCCACTTCATTTTATTACTCTATGCAAGAGAGACCAATCAATGTAACTTGCTGTCTCTACCTGATTCAATTCATCTCTTTTTTCTTTTAATGGAACATTTATAGGGTATGTATTAGTATGGAATAACATAAAAATATTTAATTTATTCTACAGCACATTCAAACTAGGCTGAGGTATATATTTCACACGTGCGCATACACACTCCCCTACAACCCCCCCACACACACCACACGCACGCGCGCGCGCATGCGCGCCCTGTGTGATTAGGCACAGCTGAACAGAAAAAAATCTCAATAAATAAATATAAAACTACTCATACAGGATAGAATTTTGGTCTTGACTATTTTTAGTATAAAGATGACAAAGCATTAATTTCACTAATTAGTGACCAAAAATAAATTTGAGTCTGGTTTTTATTTTGACGTAGAAACATAAGGAAATAAATGTGAGTTACAACTTTAATGGTCTACAATCTTAGGAAATCCAAATTTGGTGCTCAGTAAAAATTCTTTTGACTGATCTTATATCTTTCTCATTTTCAAATTCCATTCCCATAGCACATCCCGTCAGTTTTCAGTTCTACTTCTTCAACAAGCTGACATCAGTGGGGATTTGGATGTGTTATGGGTAGAACTGTGTCCTCCAAAAAAGTATGTTGAGAGCCTAACTTCTAGAACTGCAGAATGTGATGTGAGAGACAAGATCTTTACAGATGGAAGTTAAACTGGGATCATTAAGGTGGGCTCTAATCCATTCTGTTGTTCTTAAAAAACAAGGAGGAGGAAAAAACAAGGAGGAGGAAAGGAAATTTGCAGACAGACATGCAGACAGGCTGACTATTAGATGAGCACAAAGCAGTCATGTATCTGTCAAGAACAGGCCTAGAAGAGGCCCTTTTCCCACAGTCCTCAGGATGAACCACCCATGCCGGTACCTTAAATTTGGACTTCAAACCTCCAAAACTAGGTGACAATAAATTTCAGTTGTTTAAGCCACCTCATCTGAGGGATTTTTCTTTTTTTTACCACTGCTCTACTAAATTCATAAATAACGTAAGACATTTATTAGGGGAAAGGTCTATAGAGGATAGAGAGGAAATTAGAAAAGGCAAGGAGAACTTAGAGAGGAAGAAGTAGTTCTGACACCTGTGAAGGGGGGAAAAAAGGACGACTGGGTAGGAAGAACCATGGCTTGCAGCAGATTTCCAAAGGATTCTTGATCAGATGACATGTCTCAAGCAGAGGCTACCCATTCCAGGAACCCCCTGTCAGTCAGGACAGCCAGCCTCTGCTACCCTCAGGCACTGGCTGGGAATGGGCTCATGACGGTGATCTTGGCACAGAAGCTGTGTCTACAGCTGTGACAACTAGAAGCTCTGCCGAACATGTGTCCTGCAGCTGGTCC